TAAATAACAAAATAATATAAAATTAAATAAAAAAATATAATTTATTATTAGTGCATGATGTCAGTTTCCTTTAAGTTAACAATGGTGTCGTAGCAACAAAACAAATTCTGTAAATTGTTTTGCTTGAAATGTATTTGTGTTCTGTCAAATAAATGCCACTTAGTTTAATGTTTTGTTATATAATGCACTGACATTCATACATTTTTTAAGTAAGACTTTTGTCCAAATATTTTTATTATCCAAATATTGTATAGACCTTTCATCTTAGCTCATCATAATTCAGTGTAACCACTTATTTTTCTAAATTAATAAAACTGCACAATGAATATTTAATAATAATTATACACACACACATACTTTTAAAATGTCCTTTTTTTTTGTTGCTTAAATAACCACTTTTTGACAATTGCACAATAAATATAAATATAAAATCACAATATTAGAAAACGGTATCTTCTTCTCTTATTATCTTGTCTTATTTTTTGGCTTAAATAAAATGCTATTACTCACCTGGAAGGAATGGGTTATCATACTCAGGTGCATCTTCAGCAGATAAGAATCGTCTGGAGTTCCTCTGTCTCTCTCTTCTTCCCTTTTCTCGTTTTCCTTCAGCCGCTAAAAGCGCTAAACACAGACACAGACACAAAGCTAAAGGCTTGTACATTGTTAATGTACGCTGGAGTCAGCTCAGGTATGATCTGCTAGAGACAGCTGTCTCAATGACTCTGAGGGCTGCACCTTCTGAAAGGCCAGTTATATTCTGCCTCTGGAAATCATGTTCAACCCATCACCCGTCCCTCCGAGGAAAAAATAAAAATAAATGCAAAGGTGAGAGCAGAGAGTGAGGAGGAAGGAATGGAACGGAAGCAGGGGAGTGAGAGGGAAAAAATAAAATCAAAACAGTTTCAACAAAACGCCTCGTTCACTTGGCCTGAAGACCAACCGCCTCTCCTTTCCCTCTCAACGAACGCCCAACAGTCCCGAGAGCCAAACAAACTATTAGAGCATCCTCAAGGGAAAATAAAATCTTATCTTTGACACGATTTAATGTTCTGACGTCAACGGATGCACTTCTGGTGTGTGGGATTTCAGATTTATGTGTTGATGAATAAAACATAGCTTGAAGTCTCTCTTAAAACGCTCATTATTGTTTGTGCTTCACTGCTAGTGCAAGTTTGATGGAAGAGCAGAGAAAACATTGGTCTGTAGGGAGCCTGTTGATATGAAAGGTAGCTTTGTTTGTCCAAGGGCCAACGGCACCACAGTCCTGAGAAATTCTTCAAGTTCCATTGCCTTTTGCAACCTTGCTTGACCATGCAGCCCCTTTCTGTCCAGTGTGGCCATTTCACTGCATAGGAGCACTGTTGCTATGACAACCACTTCATTAAATAACATTACAGAGAATTATGCCACTTTCTTTCTGAGTAGTATAATTATAGACATAAATAAGAAACTGAAATTATCTTAATGGAGAACATTTTTACAATCAATGTTCTGCCATTATTCTAGGCTAATGGGGTTGCCAGGATGTCACTATGTGGTTGCTTACTTGAGTCACAAGAGTCAACCCTCAGGTCTTAATATTCTGGATCCCTGAATATGGTTTGGGTCTGTCCAGCTAGGCAAAAATCACAAGTGTAATCGTTTACAAAAATAGTAACACACAAAAACTTAGACTATACTAAACTGCTTGAGTAAATAACCATGTTCATATGCAATAAAATAAATCTACAGTACCATTCAAAAGTTCATAAAAACGTTAATATTCTGAAATATCGGTTTTCTATTTTTAATATATTTTAAAATATAATTTATTGCAGATTTCCTTCAGAAATCATTCTAATATGCTGATTTGGTTCTCAATAAAGATTTCATCTTATTATCAATGTTGAGAACAGTTGTGCTGCTTAATATTTAAAAAAAAAACTGAAAATGATTCTTTGATGAATAGAAAGTTCAAACGAACAGCATTTATCTGAAATAAAAATATTTTAAAAAATACTTGCTGAATAAAAGTATTTTTTTTAAGTATTTAAAAATGAAATACTTTAAAAAGGAATTAAAGTAATAAAAAATCTTAGTGACCTCAAACTTTTGAATGGTAGTGTATATTATTCCAAATTTACGTGCAAGTCAAATAAATCTGGTAAACAGTGTGAAATAGCCTAGCAAATATTCCAAAATATTTCTAACAATCACAACAATAAATATGACATATTATTCTTTATCATGTAGATACCTTATCCAGAATATCCATTTAACATAACAAAATATTAATTTGTACTTTTAGGTGTTAAAACATTTTTGATTTTGAAGAAATACGTTTGGATTGAGAACTAATTTTTTTTTTACAAACATTTCACAAACTAACATTAATAGACGTCTTATGTTTCAGTTACCATGTGTAGAGGAATATTCCAATCACTGTGAAGCATGTAAACCTTTTTTATTGGAATAAAGGCTTTTAAGAATATGGACCTTAATCAGTGCAAATAAATGTGGTCAGCTAGCACTACATTAGTACACAAGTGTAAGCTTGTTATGATTATATAAAATGTGTTTGGAGCAGGCTGGGACAAATAAGTAATTTAGTTCTACTTAATTCTGTTTGCATCTCCTACACTGCAGTTTGTTATAGCCTTTCTTTGTTTTTGCCTCCCACACAGAAAATTATTAAGCAATTTGATGTAATACTCCCCCCCTAGACATGCCCTGAGCTTCCTGTCTTTCATTTAAAATAAAAACTCTGAATGTTCAAGAAGACAAACAATCATTTAAAACAGGTAAACACGCCACCCACATCTTCCTGGCTTTGGGTTTACCTCGTACACCTGCTCGGAGTCTGACCAAAAAACAGATTAGACCAGATATAAATGTCTCAAACAAATAACACAGAAATAATTTTAGCAACATCCTTCATCTGTGGTCCGCTTTTGGAATGAGAGTGTATTTGAAGACGCTTCCAAAAATATGGTTTGATATACAACTGAAGCCAAGTAAGCCAACCCCAGACAGCAAACAGTCTAGTGCGTTCATTTTCTTCATAACAACTTGAGAATCAGTGTTTACTTTTTCCTAGAATTCCCCATCCGTCCACACACACGGCTGGAGCCAAGCCTGTCGAGAACATGATAAATCTACCGCCCAGACAGTTTAGAGAATGTGATTCAAGACAGATAGAATGACTGAATAAAAGATAGATAGAAGAACAATAGATAGACGGAACAACAGACAGATAGAACGATAGATAGAATGACAGATCAACAGAATGAAAGAACAATAGAGAGATAGCTAGAATAACAGATAGATAGATAGATAGATAGATAGATGAAATATGGTTTGATATACAACTGAAGCCAAGTAAGCCAACCCCAGACAGCAAACAGTCTAGTGCGTTCATTTTCTTCATAACAACTTGAGAATCAGTGTTTACTTTTTCCTAGAATTCCCCATCCGTCCACACACACGGCTGGAGCCAAGCCTGTCGAGAACATGATAAATCTACCGCCCAGACAGTTTAGAGAATGTGATTCAAGACAGATAGAATGACTGAATAAAAGATAGATAGAAGAACAATAGATAGACGGAACAACAGACAGATAGAACGATAGATAGAATGACAGATCAACAGAATGAAAGAACAATAGAGAGATAGCTAGAATAACAGATAGATAGATAGATAGATAGATAGATGATAGATAGATAGATAGATAGATAGATAGATAGATAGATAGAAGGAATGAATGACAGAATGATAGACAGAAAGCAACCCCTGCAAAGAAATGTATCTCTTCTGTTTATCTCTTATCTGGCTGTGTGCACTTGGGAACAGTTTGCTTTTCTTGACTCATTAAAAAGCCGCCTACTACTAGATACTTCTCAGTCCTCTAACAACAGTGATTACTGTCTGTATATTTTTAGTGCTCAGAGGGAGATCTGACCCCAAAATTGTGGTGCAGATTACAGCGATGCAATGTACCCAACACTTTAGCTGTCCCTCTCTCTCTCTCTCTCTCTGTCTGTATCTGCAATGGATCTCTTTGTTAGGGTTTGGATAAATTCTGTTATTCATTGGCACAAAAGCAGTAGACTATATGACTGTAATTCGACTGTATCTAATGTATCTATGCCTGAGCATGGCAATGATACATAGCTTGAGGCAAAAATGCCATTGAAAGTTGGTATTTTGGTGGAAATTGTGGTTAATATTTCAAGGATTTTAGCCTGGAGCAATCAATGTAAAGACCCTGTAAAGAACATGCATGAACTTGCGTTACTGAGATTGTAACGAGTAATAATATTACCCAAATTTTATTAGTAATGCGTTATATTACTGCGTTACAGCTAAACGTAATATACTACTGTAATATTATTACTTTTGTAATGCGTTACTCCCAACACTGGCCATGACTTACTTTGTCATTCATATTAGGTTGTTTTAACCAAATTGTCACTTATAGACTTATAAATAATGAGCATGTTCATTTAATACTGTCAATCACAAAAGGATGGTATATAAACTGATCTTATCTCACTGTCTGTGCCAAACCACAAGCCTAGGCTGTATCACAAAGATTATTTGATGTGAACTCGTAAAATTACTGAAGACCCACAGAACATAACTGATCAATAACCCCTTTGCTATATAACATGACCTGTGATTCAGTGTTGAATATTCAGCATACATCAGGGTTGCCAGGTTTTCACAATAAAACCCGCCCAATTGCTTCTCAAAACCATAGACTGTATAAAGCTCAAAACTAGCCCAATGGCGTTTCGAGAGGGTAAAATACACGTTTTTTTGGCGGGTTTCCCCTGGTAAAATTCGCATCCCAGTGGCTAAAAATCACCTTATTGGTGTCGCTTCAACCCGCATATATGAAAAACAATCCGCGGCAACAGTGTTATAGTAGCCCAATTCCGCGGATTAGGCAACACTGGCATTCATTACAAAGCATTTTGGTCCAGTAACAGCGGCCTTTGTTTTGATCTACATTCGCCTATGTGAGCAGCTCTTCAAGGTCTCGTCATAGAGCTTCAACCAATCAGCGCGCAGATCAACAGAACCTGCCACCCAATCAGCGCTCACATCAACAGGAACCGCAACAATGGAGGCGAGCATGAAGCCCGTGGGTGTATGACAGCATGTCAACGGCAAATCAAGCGCAAATCCCCCAAAATCATAATGCACGCTTTCTGAACGGACAATTAACTGTTACACGTGTGAAATCGACAGAATGGCTTCGTGGTCGGAGAAAATGCTCCAACTCCTGCGTCGAATGAATAACTTTCATCTACCAGGTGGGGAAATATTAAAATAATCATATGACACGGAGCAATCCATATGCATGTGATCCAGCATGAATTCACGTCATATATAGGTCAATAAAATCTTCCTTGATCTGTAAAAATACATTAAAATTCAATTCATGCTGACAAAGGCTCTTCCATTATGAAAACATTTTCAGTTTCTGAATCAAAAGATTTGTACCGAGTAAAGACGACTACTTGATATCCATGACTCAAAAATTTAATTTGTAAAAAAAAAAAAAAAATGTAAATGTCAAGAAAACCTAAAAAAAAAAGGAAATAATTCATATAGATTTTTTAAATACTTTTTTTGTTGAAGTTCTGTACACTATTCTGTATTCAAGGTGCAAGGGAAACATTTTATTACTTTATTTTTGTTGTTTACAATTGACTAATATACTAATATAATATACATGTACAATTGATATACAAGTGCATTCATTTACTCAACATCAATGCATTGATTTATTCCAGGTTCTAGTTTAGAGAGCTGTCTACGTTTTGAGGTGGCTGGAGAACAGGTTGGATGGATTTCCCCAAAAGTAGCATCAATTCTTGGTCGTTTTCCTGCTGTCTTCAGACCATATGGGAGCACTATAACCTTCTGCTCCGGACTTGACACTTTTGAGAGCAGATCAGTGGCTGTGGATGAGGTCTTGCAGGAGCTGAGGAGAGAGGCATCATTCACCTGTCTCATAGGCTGGAGAGATGAGGTGAGACATCTCTGGTACATGCTAGATAATTACACATCTTCATTCTTATCTCTTGGGCAGTTGTTTTGAATTTTTATTTTTCCTTTTTCATTTAAATTTTAGTTCAAGTTTAGTCATTGTTGTGTGGTTTTGTCATTTTTAGTAGTTTTTGTTTATTTTATAAATGTCTATATAGTTTTTATTAATTTTTAATTCAGTTTTAGGTATTTAAATACATCGTTAAATTAAACGAAAATGAGAAATATTGCCTTGGCAACGATGTGAAATAAAGTTTTTTACATTTTATTTTATTTCATTTAACGGTTACTTTATTTCAGGTAACAAAAATGTTTTTTTTTTTTGTGGATTTAGTTTTAGTTTCAGATTTAGTTCTTGACTCTTAAATTCAAGCTCAGTGTCAACAAGTGCATCAATTCAAATTCTTGTTTTATTTATTTTTTTATTAATTTCAGTGACATAATTATCACAAAGCAGTTGCTCATTTGTGCGTAAAATAATATTAATGCATATTGTGATTGTCTGTTTATCCTTGCATTATAATACATATTTAATTGGATCAGATTATATATTTAATTAAAATGGGATTATTTTAATTACTGGTAAATTTGAGTACAAAAACTTTGTACGCATGCCTTTAAATTGGCGTATACAGACAGACATTTTCATAGCAGTTCTCGCCTTTATAAATCTTGATTTGTTCCTCACTTTTGACGTAGGATGAATTCTATTTTCAGCAATATGCTGTGATGCCCAGGTATTGCGACCCTCCATTGATGTATATGGAGAGAGCAGCTACAAGTATGTTAATGAAATATTAATTTCATGCTTCTACTTTGTCACAGACAGTGACACTTATAGCTGTTTATAAATAATGGTCAAACACAGGTCTGTTTGGAGTGAAACGGTACGGTGTCCATGTCAATGGCTACACTCGGGATTCAAGTGGCAACCTTAATATGTGGCTAGCACGACGATCTCTGACCAAACAGACGTATCCAGGAAGACTGGACAACATGGTAATTTATTAATAAACTAATTAATCAACTCATTACAAGAAGTGCCGAACCAAACTTACACCACAGGTTGAGTCAACGTATGTTGAATCATATTGTTACTTCTAACACATAGATCTATGACTCCTTCACACTACACACTCATTTAACTTACCTTCAACACTCTCTGCACTTCAGTACTGGACCTCAAGGATCCCTATTATTATTTTGTTAGTGCTACATTTGTACTGCTGCCGTTTAATTACACAACTTATTTTATACATACTTAAATAGTACATTCATGTACATATAGCACTTTAAACACTTGTGTATTGTATTCTGCCTTTGTGTGGGGTTTTGTAAGTCTGTTGCCTATGGAATTTATGTTTGCACTGTTTTTAATTTTTGCATATTGCATTGTTGTCTTTACCTGTGGGAATTTCCCAAGTAAGACTTTTAATTGTACTTACCCTGTACATCAAGTTTGGGTCAGTAGTGTAGAAAATAATTTATATATATATAAACATACAGAGTAATATTTGCTATAAATTACTGCATTGAACTTTTGGAAGTACACTAGCATAAATATTACCTCAAAGCTATTTTGATGTAATGGGGTCTTTAAAGGATTTGATTTATCACTCAGGCGGCTGGAGGACTGGCAGCAGGCTGTAGTGTAAGGCATACCATGGTAAAAGAGTGTGAAGAGGAGGCCTGCATCCCTCCAGGCCTGGCAGAGCAAGCGCGTCCTGTGGGAACTGTGAGGTGCTTAAATCCTTTTTTCTTATTTCTATACCACTATTTAGGTTAGGTCATTACAGATCATTTAGAACCTATTATGAAGCACAAAAACAATTGGTAACTGCTGATTTTTAAGATTAAAATGCATGGTACAGTTTTCTCCTATTCAAAACCTTTCCCACATACCAGGGTAGATATAAACTCTCTCAACTCTCCTGCCAGAGACTGATTAATACAGCAGAAATGCCAGAAATAGCTTCCAACTGGCAGGTTTCCAGAGAAATATTCTGTGCGCACAAATGAAGATGACCAGAATTCAAGTTTCATACAGGCTTAGAACAAGTCAATGTGATCAAAGACATGAATGCCTGTCACAGGAACCATTTCTGCCTGGAAACAGTTTACTATGTTTAGCTAAATTGAAAGACGTTCTGCAATCTTGAATCTCCAATTCATGTCTCTTTTCTCTGTAGCTACACCTACGAAGATGACGAAGGAATATTTCCTGAGTGTCAGTTTGTTTTTGATTTAGAGCTGCCTCTCAATTTTCAGCCTCACATTGGAGACGGAGAAGTGCAAGCGTTTTACTACTATCCAATAGAGAAGGTGATTTTAGGTTTGAATGCTATGTAATGTATTTCATATAAAATAAACTGTGACAAGTTTGCTTTGACATAAAATGTATTTTGAACATGAAAACATGTTTTAGCATGTTTTAGCAAAAAAGTTTTAGCATAGAAAATGGTTACTTTTCTCTCACAGGCAAGCTGCCTCTCAATTTTCAGCCTCACATTGGAGACGGAGAAGTGCAAGCGTTTTACTACTATCCAATAGAGAAGGTGATTTTAGGTTTGAATGCTATGTAATGTATTTCATATAAAATAAACTGTGACAAGTTTGCTTTGACATAAAATGTATTTTGAACATGAAAACATACTTTGACATGCAAAAAAGTTTTAGCATAGAAAATGGTTACTTTTCTCTCACAGGCAGCTTTCTAAAATATGTGCGGTTTCCTAGACTAAGGGGTAGCACATCTTACCCCCATTCTCCCCTGTGACACATGTTGATTTCAGGTGAAAGATCTCCTGGTCAGTGAGGAGTTTAAGCCGAACTGTGCCATGGTGGTTCTGGACTTCCTCATCAGACATGCCATCATTGAGCCAGACTCAGGTTTGTTACACACTGGGGGTCAGATGTCAGATCACCTGGTAGGATTTGAGATTAGAATTTGATAGCATGTAATTTATGTACTTTTAAATGAAAAGTTTAACATGAGAAAGGCTGTGACTTACGTTTTTCTCTCATTGCAGAGCCCTATTATCACGAATTTGTGGCTGGATTGCACAGATCACTGTAAAAACTGACTGATGGTGTTAAAGCCTGTGTTAACCTGCAACAGTTTGGTATTTTTGTTATCTACCTCCGCTTTTAACTCCTAGCATTGTCAGCATGTGTACTTGTTTACTAAAGACCACATCTAGCTGGTGAAGACATTTTACGGTATTTTACGCAAACATAACCCGGAGAAGAGACAGAATAAAGACCCAAGCAAAGTTACCCTATAAGAATTTATTTTTTCAATACATTTCAGATGAGTCTGTGGAAATCCAAAGATGCACTGGTATACAAAAGATAATTGATGCATCAAAGGCTCTTTTTTTTTCTTACAATGAAATGCAGAATCTCTTCTAAGAAATTACTTGCATTTAATAATATGGCATTAAACAGCTCTCTCAAAATCACATTTTGGCTACTTTTGTCCTTTTGTTTCTTTTAAAACTTTCAATTCTAAGATACTAGAATTTGTAAAATACGCAAAAATGATATAGTATAAGCCAGTAGAATTTCACAAAAAAGAAAAAAACATACAGTACAGGAGAAAAAGAGGGGAATATTAAACAAAAAAGGCAGAGAAAATGGAGGAAGTTACTCATTTATACAGTGAGATAAACAAAAATTGTTACTGTCACCTTTTACAAAACTTACATATATATTGCCAAAATCGAACAGTGTCTGACAGTCAACATACAAAGCTGTGGTTATGCTTTGAGCTCCACAAAGGCTGATTAACCCAAAGTCTTTCTTTTTTTAATTACAATACATGAGCAAGCACATAAAATACTCACAAAAAAGCTGAATTAGTATGATAATTGCTTAATGCATCTTACTTTGAATTTTATAGGCAAATGGCAAAAAAAAAAAAAAAAGTATAAGATATATTTAACTCTTATTGGAATAAAGAATTGTAAGGCTACCACTATTTCAGCTATTTTAAACCAGTGACTAAACCGCCAATTTTGCAACAGGACAGGAGAGCACAGGGGAAACGGTTGTGTTAACCAACAGTGTTAGCATGTTAATGTAGGAAAAAAAGATCATTAAACATAAAATCGTAGTACGAAGGACATGCATGAATCTTTTACATAAGATGGCACTGGGTTCCTGGGAGGTTTATAAAGGGGTTCACGGGAGTATTACGTTGTGTGGCCAATGTCTTGAACCAAAAAAACAACTCCCTGCTTGACATATCGCATACATGATGTAGGGTACTAACTAATGCCTTTTACACCCTGAATAATGCACTTAGTGCCAAAAAAGGAATATTTTTAGACCAAGTCGTTTGTTTCTGTTCTTGCTAACAGTGCCGATCTTCTAAGCAGAAGATGTGGTAAAGAATACATCGCATATAATCCCACCCCAAAAGCAATCAGTGATTGTGAGCCACTGTGAAACCACGTCAATCTTTACCCTACATACAGACTATCCTTACGCTTGTGATCAGTCTGAAGGCTTAAGGTCAACTAATCTTGATTTGAAAGAGGACTGATGGCCATAAAAATGTTTAAGTCCCTTTTTGCCCGTGCAGTTGACCCTACTATCTTCTGTAGTTTCCTTTGGCCTGGATTGAAAATGACCCTCCCTGACCCCCGAGTACATAATTAACACTAGGGGGCATTTCTTCTCTCTATTTGCTAACTTTTACAGCTCTTTCATTTTCCTTGGCCTAGTTTGGTTACCCCTTTCCCTCCCTCGTTCTTTTCTTTTATTTTCTCTCTCGTTCTCTATAGCAAAGCGCAGGGATTCTTCTTGCCACGTTTTTTGGCTTGGAGCGCCGCTCTTGTGGCCATTTCGAACACTTCCCTCACGCCCTCCTTAGTTTTAGCCGAACACTCAAGGTAGCCGAAGGCATTGATGCGATTAGCCATGTCTCGCCCTTCCTCTGGTTTAACTGGTTCCTGTTCAAGGAAGAAAGCATAGACAGGGCATTAGTACACTACAGCATAACACGGAAATAACAGCAATTTTCCACCAATCAATAACAGCAAAAAAAAAATTTTTTGTGTTATTTCCATAAAAATATAGTGACTGTTTTAAAAAAAGGAAAGTGTTAGCTCACACACCTGTTTCATCTTCAGCAGCTCCCGTCGAGTGTGATCATCATTCCGTAAATCTTTTTTATTACCCACCAGAATTATTGGAACATTTGGACAGAAATGTTTTACCTCCGGCGTCCATTTTTCTGGGATATTCTCTGTGTGAATAGAGTATGGTTTTCAATACAGTGACTACAGGAATGTGGTCTTACTGTATAAAATATTTAAAGGCAGAAATTAGGAAATTATCTCACCCAAACTGTCAGGGCTGTCTATGGAAAAGCACATGAGGATGACATCAGTGTCTGGGTAGGACAGGGGCCTCAGCCTGTCGTAGTCCTCTTGTCCAGCTGTATCCCATAGAGCCAGTTCCACCTGCCAACAAAATGATGAAAAATTATATTATCGGCATAATTTGTGTAAAAAGTGATTAAACAAATTAACACAAATTTCTAAGCATTTAGCAATACTTGAGCTGCGTGAACACAAGTTTGAGAATATTTGAGAATGATCCAAAGTCCACATGTTCAGTGTCACAAATTAAAACAATGAGGAATTCATAAAAATATTATTCACAAAAATGCTTGGATGTTTTATATATAGGTAACTTCCATTCAAAAGTTTGGGGTCAGTAAGATTTCTTTAAAAAAATTAATATTTGAATTCAGCAAGAATGCATTAAAATGATCAAAAGCGACAGTAAAGACATTTATCATGTTACAATAGATTTCTATTTTCAAGTAAATGCTGTTCTATTCAACAAAGAATCCTGAAAAAAATGTATCACAGTTTCCACTAACATATAGAGCAGCACAACTGTTTTCAACAGTGATAATAATAAGAAATGTTGGAGCAGCAAATCAGCATATTAAAAAGATTTCTGAAGGATCATGTGACACTGAAGACTGCAGTAATGATGCTGAAAATTCAGCTTTGCCACCACAGGAATAAATTATAATTATATATTAAAATAGAAATTATAGAAATAAAAAATAGAAAATGTTGTTTTTAAATTGTAATGCTATTTTGCAATATTACTGTTTTTACTGAAATTTTTTATCAAATAAATGCAGCCTTGGTGAGCATGAGACTTTTTACAATTTGCAATTCCTTTTGAAAATTGTCCGGAATATCGTTCCATAATTTTGAATGACAGTGCATGTTAGATATTGCATATTTTAACTATACTTCTATAATGTATTTATATAAAATGTATTTCAATATATTTATATACATATATTATTCATTGTAGTTAATCATCTCACAGATGGACACGTCTTCCAACATCAGCAAAAGACAATCAATCACTCACTGTTGACCCAAAATAAACCCCATTCATTACAAATGAACTCTGCATAAAAATGCAAAAATAATAATAGAGGAAGAACACTATTAAGAAGTTTGTGAACTATCTGAGGAAGTTACTAGTTTCAAAAGTTCAAACTGCTACAGAAGAGACACGTGTAAGCTGTAATAGACCAGCGGTGACGCTGGGTTTGATGTTAAGAGACATTCTTACCTGTTTGCCGTCCACCTCGATATCAGCAACATAGTTCTCGAACACTGTGGGTACGTAGACCTCAGGAAACTGGTCTTTACTGAAAACGATGAGTAAACACGTCTTTCCACATGCTCCATCCCCAACGATTACAAGCTTCTTACGGATTGCAGCCATCTGTCACACAAAATGAAAAGATCAGCCAATAATTACATGAGGCAGGTGGAAATTGTTCCTACACTGGAATTGGCAACCATTTTTATTACATAAATCAAAATTTTTCATGTACGTCTGCCCTCTCTGTTCTAATTCTACTGTTTCACATGGAAGAGCAATTCTGAGGTGGAAATACTCCAGACATTCTTGAAGAAGAAGAAAAAAACGTAAACCAGGCAGGCATACAACAGTATTATTTACCCATAACTAGCTTTAACTTTATTGTCATGAGTCTGAAGTATCGGTGTTTGAACAGACTTCTAAAGTAACTGAAAAAAAAAATAAATAAATAACAAGAACCAATTCCATGATACCTTGTAACTGTCTTGATTAAATACAATTGAGAAACATCTCCCATAACTAGCTTTAACTTTATTGTCATGAGTCTGAAGTATCGGTGTTTGAACAGACTTCTAAAGTAACTGAAAAAATAAATAAATAAATAACAAGAACCAATTCCATGATACCTTGTAACTGTCTTGATTAAATACAATTGAGAAACATCTAAAATCATAATCTCTTTAATCTCTTATCTAAAAACGTATGTTTTGTTTTGTCATAAACCAACAAAATTAAGTGCTTTATTTGCAAGCGTGAGTCTGGACTGGAGTGGGCTTACAAGGAACATGTGCACCATTTAAAGCCACCTGTGTTACATTTAAGCCCACTATTCTTTATATAAATACTTCACATATTATTCAAATGCATTAAACACTTCCATTTTGATTAATTAACATTTAATAAAAGAACTACTGATCAGAATGGACAAACATGCATTACAGTTTTAGCACTTAGCCTATTCAACAATCATCACTTGCTATAATTTTGTCACCACAATGAAAATAATGTAAGTGGGTAAATTAAAAGAGTGTGTTGTGAGAACAATTTGTTCAGTTAATGCTATTTATATGAGTCTCAGTAGGCTTATTAGGAACAATAGGAGCCAATGCTGTGAAATCAACTTGACAAAAAAAGTTATATCTATGAATTATAATTACACAAATGGCATGAGCATCTTTTTAACCAGATGAAGCTTATTAAATATTTAATATGGTTATAAATGTTTAATTTTGTTGGTCTACTGGCAATTTTTATGAAATCTGTTTTCAAATATTCAGATCGCATTCATTTATCAACCAGTTTAATCACTGTGGATACTAAGAAAATAGTTTATTTTGAGTGCTTTTAGTTAGAAACAAGCATTAAACAATTTTGATTAATCTACATATTTAATGAAAGAACTACTGATTGAAATGAACAAATATGGATTACAGTTTCAGTATTTACATTTATATTACATTTAGCAGACGCTTTTATCCAAAGCGACTTACAAATGGAAGCAATCAAAATCAACAAGAGAGCAATGACATGCAAGTGCTATAACAAGCTTCAGTTAGCTTAACGCAGTACACGTAGCAAGGTTTTTTTTAATTATATAATAAATAAAAAGAAAACAGACAGAATAGAAAAAGAATAGAGCAAGCTAGTGTTAGAAGTCAGTATTTGACATTCAGCATCAATCTCCACAATAAAAATAAGTTATGTTCATAAATGAAAAGCTTGTGTTGTGAGCACAATTAATTCAGTTAATGCCTTTTCATGAGTCTCAGTGGGATCTTTAGAGATAATAGAGGTCAATGGTGCCGCTCCTTGCAAACCAACTTGACAAAAAAAATTAATTATTTAAATATAATTACAGACAGAGCATGAACATTAATATGACTACAAACATTTTAGCCATTGTTATATTATAACAATATTTTTCTTG